CACTCAGGAAGGGATCAAAACTGGAGATTCTGGAGAGTGGGAGGACAAAGGTGGAACAAAATCAAAAAACACAATAATGACCAGAATTACTGATCAGATGGAGTCCGGTGGGAGCCCCAAGACTATGGCCCTGGGATATACTTCAGGCCTGGAATAGGATGTAGTCCCAAGGACTGGTTCTCAGTCCAATTTTAGAAAGACTTACATGCCGAACACCCAACCCAGGGTAATGCACCCACCTACTCTACAGAGATACACCCCTTGGAGCAATCAGCCATGGGGCACCAGAGGGGCAGCATTCACATGGAGGGAAAGCTGGACAGAAAGGAGTGCATAACTAAGAAGGCCACAGGGATGGGGGCGGTCATAGGAAAGGGAGAAGAGGAGAGTGGGTTAGGGTTGGGGATGGTAACCAGGGAGTGAACCAAATGTACACGAATTGCTGAATGTAAAATAAATTCTGCTCTGTAAATTTGCATCCAAACACAATGAAAATAAATAAATAAATAAAAACAAATAATTAATTAAATTGGTTGGCCTTAAGTAAAGCAGATTACCTTCTGTAATGTGGGTGGCTATCATTCAATCAGTTAAAGGAGGAAAAAAAAACCCAGGAGTACTTCCTATGGTGTAATCTGCCTCTGGATAATAAATAGGCATATTTTCAGAACTCCCCCATTCTTCACTCTCCCCATCTACCGACCTACAGATTTTGAGACACGTACTTGTAGGAACCTTGAGCCTATGGCCTGACCTATGGATTTTGGACTTGCTAGCCATCAGCCCACCACCATCCCCCCACCAATCATATCAGCCAATTCTTTAAGATAAATCAATATGCTCTCTCTCTAAATCTCTCTATATATATATACATGGAAATATCTTATTGGTTCTGTTTCTCTAGAGAACCCTAAGACAGTAAGTGACCCTATGAGTGAAGTTCTTCTCACTCGATACGAATAATCATTGGAAGAGCCTACTGCTGAATCACAGGCTCTTTCTGATGTTACATTCCTGGTCTGCAACTGTTCTCACTCTTACCTTTAGGGATAAAATTGTCCATCTCAGCTTTGGAAGGAACTGATCAGGGCTCAGACCCTTGACTTGAGGAAGCTAAGGCATTTCCATTTTATAAACAATAATAACATTTAAGCTCTCAGTATGGGACAGGTATTGTGATAAGTGTCTCACATTTATTGACTTTCTTAATCCCCACAAGAACTCTGATGGAAACACTATTATTATCTTCATTTCTGAGAAAGAGAATCCTCAAAGTCTGAGTGATTCATACAAAGTCACCCAGTTAGTCAATCCCAGAGGTAAGATCTGAACTCAGGTCTGTTTGACTCTAGAACTTCTCCCTCTTCTGTATCTCTAAATTACCTGAGGTCCATGGCGTAGTAGTTGTCTCAGTTGACTGAGTTGGTAAGTGATAAAATGGGGATGGGGTGACTAAAGGGAGAAAGGGTCTTTTGCCTTCCTTTGGAGTGGCCCCTCTTCAAGTGTGGGTAGTGGTCCCTTAGTGAGTTATGCAATCAATTTAAAGGATTGCAAACAAAACTCAAAAGAGAGAAGAACAAAAGAAGGGGAGAGAAAAAAAGGAAGAGAGAAAGACAGAAAAAGAAAAGAATAAACCATATTGTACCACATGTAGATAGAACACTATTGTTTTGTGAAACTTTTATTCTGTCATATATGTGCATGTTGGGATGCTATGAAAAAAAATGTATTCATTACTGTGGATTGTAGTACAAAAAGGTGATTAAATTTCATCCAAACTCAACGATCATCAGGGAAATGAAAATTAAAGGAATAAGATAAAACTTTTCACATATCAGTTTGGCAAAAATTAAAAAGATTGGCAACATACAGTGCTGCTGAAGCTGTAGTGAAAAGGACATTCCCTATGCTACTTGTGGGAACATGAGTTACTAAACCTTTTTGGAGAAAGAGAGATTGGCAACAATCTACTGAATTTCAAATAATACATTCACTCCTCACTTATCAATATGGTTGTGTTCCAAAGACCAGTCCCTTATGCAAAAATTGGCATCATGTGAAATGGCGGATTGACCACATCAAATCACAAAATGGAGGATGACTACAACATTACATAACTGCCAAATTACATCATTATATAACTGCCAAATTACTGAGAATCATAGCCCAGCCAAGTTGACACCTAACCTTAACTATCACAACCAGCATTACTCTTGCCAGACACCTTGGTGTTCCTTGCTGCCAGATGTATATTGTTAATGAACAAAACTGTCAGATAGTAGATTTTTTTTAACTATTGTCATAAACGTACAGTGTCAGATAATGAGATAGTCGATAAGCGGGCAGGTGTATATGCTTTAAACAAGAAATTCCCCTCTGGAGCAACTTTATATATGGAAAAAAGGACACAAAGATTAAGTCATAAAATTATGTACTGCAACATGTTTCCAGAGACAAAAATGTAGGAACAATTTGAATGTCTAACAATAGAAATATAAATGAAAAAATTACTATAGCTATTAAATAACTTAGGTCAGTATATATTAAACTGCAAGAATTTCCCATGACATACAATTAAGAAAATGATGCTACAGATAAATGCACGTGGTATGATATTTTTGTACCATAAAGTATGGAACCTCCCCAAATACAGGTAAATATACCTTGTTCAGTATTCTATGAGTATGGAGAAAATTTAACACCAGATGGTCAATGCCAATAAACAGCGAATATCTTTGAGTGGTAGACTGGGTGGGATGGAAATGGAGAGAGAGAAGTAAAAAGCAAGGAAAAGAAAAAAGGCTGCTACTGACTGACAAAAATAAGCATATCATTCAGGATCTCATGGGAAATAGAATACATATGCAAACTGTGGTATGTGTTCAGGAAAAGAATCAAGGGACCCTGCAGTTCCCCCAGGGTCTGTAGCAATGGGGAGCCCTTACTACTACCTAGGGCTGAAGGGAAGGGGGGCATGGATACCAGAACCTGGAATGGACAGCTTTATTCAGAGAACCTCGAGACAGGAGCTGTGGACATTGGCAGGACCAGGGAGTCAATCTACAATGACTGTCAAGGAGAGAGATGATTTGTTTCTCCTCCTACTCTGTGCTGATGCATCTCATTGGCCAACCCAACTAGAGGCCAAGGGGCAAGAGAAGCCACTGATGCAGTCCACAAAGGCCAGCTGCCCAGGTCTAAGAGCAGGGTAAGAGAAGGACAGAGAGCAGTCCTAACAGGCTAAGTGGATAATGTCCAACACAAAAGACTGTAACAAACGAAAAGGTGGAACATAAGAGTCCTTCTACCATTTTACTTTATATAGGTAAAAGTGGGATATTCTCATGGGTAAGAAATAAAAGGTTACTTGGGCAAATGAACTTAAACCTCCTTTTGGTTAACAGCCAAGCGCATTAACTGTTTGCAACACCCAAGAATAAACACTTTTTAAGTATTTGCTATTATTAGAGTGGTGATGGGGCTTCAAGAGCTTTTTAATGGATAAGCCTGCCTCCATCCCACCTCTCCAATCCACCCATCATCTAGTTAGAGGAAGATGCCTAAAGGGCATCATGTTATTCTCTTCCTTAAACTTGGACAGTGTTCTCTAGACAGATAAGGGCAATATTCAAACAATGTGCCTCTTATGACCTCACCCTAATTTCTAGCCTCATCTCCATTCCTCCACATGTGCTTTCATTCTGGCCACACGAATCCCTTCTTGTTCTACACAGGTGCCATGCCCCAGGGTCCCTGTTGGGAATGCCTTTTATATACCGAATCACTTTCTTATTTTACTAACCCTTACTATATTCATCATTGAAACTTCAAGGGTCATCTCCCCTAAAAATACATTCTGATCCCCCAGTCTGATTTAGGAGCAGCTTCCTCTTCATCCCATAACATCCCATAAAGGTAGGATCAGCCCATACTCCAAATCAGCGTATATTGATTCTCCCAGGAGCAGTGGGCCCCTCAAAGGCAGCAGTAACGATTTTTGTCTCTGAACCACAGCACAGAGCAGAGAACCTACTGTGAGTAGATACTCGATCATGATTTGACTGAGGATTAAATGTGTAAATTAACAAGTTAAGTAAAACTGACCCTAAATCACTCAGCTAAGTAAGTGGCAGAGCCAGAATTCAACCCCATCTCTGTTTACTCCAAAGGCCCTTGCTGTCTCCCAAACATCTGGAAGATCTAAGGCCACCCCTGACACTCCAGAGTAGCTACATGCCTGAGGGAACTCCCCAGGGCACTAGACCAGTTCAGGCCAGAATGAGCTGGTCAGCAGTGACCCAGAGGAATAAATGCCTCCTTTCTGGGAGTATCAACTACATGACATTTGCTTTATCAAGGGACTTTCCCAAGAAAATCAATTTCTGGAGCATGTTAAAATACAAACAAACCACCACCCACCCACCCACTCCTTAAAGACAATTGGTCCAAAGAAATCTTAGAGAATTCAGACAATTCCACAATGTTGAGAGCACCATCTGATAGCATGAACTTTGTTTTCCCTAATGAAGGATTTTCTACTGAATTTTTATTTTACATTTGGCTCCACTGTGAAATGTGCTTCCCCCATCTGCATTGCTTCATTCAGGGCAAACCTGTATACACAGACACAGAAACACTGGGGATTCTTAGCATATGTACCATTTAAGATTTGCTCTTATGGCTTATGATGATGTTACCAGAATCCCTTGAAAACAGTGTTTCTATCTACTTATAATTATAACCTATTTTCCATATAATTGGATACAACTAAGGTTGAAAAAATTCAGCTATATAAGAAAAGTCCTGCTCTTAGAGAGCAGATGTTTGCTCAGCATGGCAAGTGAATTAGCCTTTAGCACAAATACTCAATAGCACATAAACACTCTTTTCAAAAGCACTGATATTAATATTTTACATTGAACAACAATTTTCAAATAAAGGATGTTAAAAATGCAAGGGAAGCAGCCACAACTGGTTTTTAAAATCGCTATTAATTTTACCTCTGTATTGTACAACACTATTTCCCATTCGATCATTGAATTTGTTCTCCAGTTCAGGGCAGAGAAAAATGAATGATAATTTACTTGTTTCTCACTGTCTTCAAACCTGAAAATATAATTTTATGAGTTGATTTAATACGCAGGAACAAAATATCACTTCAGCTTTACTATAAAAACAATATTCTTTACTGCTTCAATAGCTGATGCCTTTCTTATATATCACTAGTTCATTATGATTTTTTTTTTATTTTCAAGAATGTAAACTCATGGAGAGAAGGGATCTCACTTACCTAATTCACCAAAGTATCCCAAGCACCTAGATCAGTGCTGGCACTTGGTAGGTGTTCAATAAATATTGGTTATACTTGCCACAGAAACAAACACTCATTCAGTAACTAAGACCATCTTTATATTTTGTAAAGAATATTAGAGGGTCCCTTTAGCTTAATATAGTGAGGCCTTATGGCACAGTTGTTAAAGCACTCAGCTGCTAACTGAAAGGTTGGAACTTCAAACCCACCAGCTACTCCACAGGAGACAGATGTGGCAGCCTGCTTCAGTAAAGATGTATTGTCTTGGAAACCCTATGGGGCAGTTCTACTCTGTGCTGGAGGGTTGCTATGAGTCAGAACCAAAATTACAGCAGGAAGTTTGGTTTTTGGATTTTTGATTTCAGTTTAACAAAAACCCACTGCCATCTAAATAACTCTGACTCACAGAGACCCCATTGGATGGCATAGAACTTCCCCCTGGGTTTCCAAGGGTAGCAGACTGCCTCATATTTCTCCCATGGAGCAGCTAGTGGGTTCAAACCTCCAATTGTTTGGTTAGCGGCCCAATATTTTAACCACAGCGCCACTAGAGCTACTTTTTAGTTTAACAGAGTTGATATTGTATGTCAAATAAAATGTCCTATATTTTTAAAATTGTATGTCTTTTAAATCTTTAAGGGAAGCCCAGGTTCATTTTGTCTACTAATATACTTAAAAAAAAAAAAAAAAAAAACCTAAGCCAAACTCACTGAATCGATTCCAACTCAAAGCAACCCCCTTTGGGTTTCCGAGGTGGTAAATCTTTACAGGAGTAGATTGTCCAGTTTTCCTTCCATGGAGTGGCTGGCGGGTTTGAACCGTCAAGCTTCTGGTTAGCAGTCAGATGCCTTAGGCTCTATGCCACCAGCACTCCTTGTTATTAATGCTGGTTATACAGAATAGAGCCTGAGACTCCCATCTTGCCAAATAGCTCTAAAAGGCATTTTTATCATTATTTTTTTAGCCATTAAAAAAGGAGTTATTTAGATCCGTATTGGCTGCCATAGAAAAATGTTCATGATATATTGTTGAGTGGAAAGGTTATAAAATAGTATGGAGAGTTATGATTCTACTTTTCTTTTATATTTACATAAAAAGGCACAGAAAAAAATCTAGCAAGCAATGCACTTAAGTATTAAGAGTAGCTATCTCTGGAAAGAGATTATGATTTTTGCTTTCTTCTTTTAGACTCTTCTGTATCATTGTTTTAAGTTTCTAATCAGAAAAAATTAAGTCTATTTTCGTTTTGGAAGCAAATAAGCAAATGATTATCCTATACCATAAAACTATAGATCAAAAATCACTAATTTGTTTGACTATTTCCTAATTATGGGTATTGGCTTAAATTCATCCTTCATCATAATGGAGTGTGGCCATTAAGGCATAATTAATTCCAACACAATTGCTATAGTGATCCAAAATAAAATATTTCTTATTATAACCTCAATACTACCTATTCTGAATTTGAACACAATTTTGCCAATCTACAGACTGGTAAAATAACACCATTTTTTTGAAGATAAAAGTGGTTACTAAGGCTTTGTTCCAAACACACTGCTCCAGGCTACTGCCATTCTCTCAGGCTCTCCAACTCAAGATGACATCCCTCCAACCAGCAAGTAAGGTACAGAAGTTAGTATTTAAAGGATGATTGGTGAATAATTAATTATAAGAAAGCCTAGTGATAATAAATGTAGGAAAACAACATACTCATAATCAGTTGAAAGCTGGGCTTCGAACCGGTTCTTCCCAGTTCAGTCATGACCAACAAAGTGAACCCAGGACAGACCAGAATTTGCAAAATGTGGGTGCCTTGAACAATAACTGGAAGGGGAAAATTACAGGTAAACACCCTGCTAGAAACTTAATATCCTTCTTGGAAAACATGGGCAGCATGAACGTTCCATAGCAATCTAATCTTGACTGGAAGAATGGGAAACAGTGATGTCCTTCTCAAAAATGGTGGCCGAGGGTGGCACTCTGAATGTGGGTCGCTCTCCATAGAACTTGTGATAATCCAATAGCCTGCATCAGGCCCCTGAAAGGGCTCACTACACCTCTTCTGAGTCTCCCATTCCAGGGCTCTGACTCGTAATTTTTCCCATTCTGGTAATTATCCCAAGCATTAACATTTTGCAAATTCCAGTACATCCCAGTTTTGCTTCATTGTCCATGACTAAACCAACTCAAACTGGTTTGAAGCCCTGCTTGAAAGACTGGTCTCGTTTTTTCTTTTTTCAAAGTACTAAGAAAACTGGTTCACATTTAAAACTAATAAAATATTAGCAGCAATAAATTAAAAGTTACAAGTTAGAGTCATATGGATATATCAATCTAAACAAAGTGCAAAAAGCACAGTGATCAGAAGAGGGGAAAGGAAATTATGAATTATTTTGTGTACATTTTCTTAGGCCAAGGGTTCTGGGATATAACTCCAATGTGCTGTCCCTTATCATTTGTATCCTTTGAATTTTGGCTCACTCATCACATGCTCTGTTTATGGAAATATTTGCAGCCAAAATGTATGTGTTTAGGGGAAGAACTAAAATTGAATGAATGTATTTTGCAAGAAACTTTCCTTTAGCATGTACCTTGAAGAAAAATACACCCACTCCTCATCAACTGGGTTAGGGTACAAAGGAGAGGTCATTATGCAAAATTTTGCAATATGCAAAAATAGAAGATGAGATCACATGAGATCACAAAATGCAGAGCACTACATTACATAACTGCCACATTACATCATTACATAACTGCCACATTACATCATTACATAACTGACAAATTACATCATTACATAACTGCCAGATTACATCATTACATGACTTCCAAATTACATCATTATATAACTTCCAAACCACTGAGAATCACAGCCCAGCCAAGATGACACATAACCTTAATCATGACAGTCAACGTTATTTTCACCTTGCACCTGAGCCTTCATTATATCAGATACATGTCATTAACATAAAAAATTGTCAGATAGTAGATTTTTTAGCATTGTCATCATTGCAAAATGTCAGATAATGAGATAGTAAGTGTGGAGTAGGTATAGTTCTTAATAGTTCAAGCAGGAGCTGAGTTCAGACAATGAGATTATTAGGACCTTTGACTTTTATTTTAAGGAAAATGAAGAACTGCTGGAGCCTGTTGTGTAGAAAAGTTATGGAACCTATCTTATATTTTCTAAACATTACTCTAGCTGATATACTGAGAACAGAATGGAGGGGGCAAGGCAGTTAGCATTCTTTTGCAGTAATCCAGATGAGAGATAATGGCAACACAGACGAGTGTGGTGGCAGTGCAGAGTATTGGGGAGCACTCAATTCTGAACATTATTTTTAACATAGAACCAAACAATTCATAAAGGATTGTACATAGTGCATAAGAGAGAAAGTCAGGATGACTGCAAGGATTTTGCTTCAGCAACTGGAAAGATGGAACTGCCCTAACTGGGATGGGAAAGACTGCAGGGGCTTCCGGTTGAGAGAAAAGATCAGAAGTTTCATTTTGAGTATGTTACATTTCAATGGGAAGTGAGCAGTTGGATATATGAGTCTGAAGTTCAGGGAAAAGGTAAGAGTTGAAGTTGTAAATGTAAGTCATTAGCATATAGATGGTATTTAAAGCCATAAGACTAGTTGAGATCACCATGAAATAAGTTTCTTTATCTGTCTTATTAACTGTCAGGAAATTCCCATTACATCAATCACAGGCGGCACTTATGAAATTCTACAGATTTCAGAAATTTAATGTCCTAGTAATTTGGGAATCATTCAAAGGTCTCTCAAACAGATATAAGATTACATCAGACTTCATCCTCATGTACAATCCCCTCCTGTGGATTCCACCATCACACCATAGTACAACTCTATTTCTCTCCATCTCCCCTGTGCTTGTTGTTAGTTGCTGATGAGTGGGCTCCGACTCATGGCGACCCTACATACGAAAGAACACAATGTTATAAGGTCCTACATCATCTTCACAATTGTTAGTATGCTTGAGTCCATTATGTATTTTGAGTGCCTTCCTACTTAGGGGGCTCATCTTCCAGCACTATGTTGTTGTTGTTGTTGTTGTTATGTGCCGTTGAGTTGGACCTGACTCATAGTGACCTCTCCTTGAGTTTCCGAGGCAGTATCACTATGGAAGTAGATTGCCCCATCTTCCTTCCGAGGAGTGGCTGGTGGGTTTGAACCACCAACCTCCTGGTTAGCAGTCAAGTGCCTTAGGCACTATGCTACCAGAGCTCCCAAAAAACAGCTACCAACTGACTGGCATGGAGTGGATTAGACTCCTAGGGAGCCCTCCTTGGGTTTTCGAGGAGGGCTGAGTCCAGTAAGAGGCAGCCCGGTCTACCTGGTGAGAAGCGGCTGGTGGGTTTGAACCACCAGCCTTGCACTTGGCAGGCGACTGCCTTAGGCCCCAACAATATTCTGATGTGCTCCGTAAGGTTTTCATTGGCTAATTTTCAGAAGCAGATCATCAGACCTTTCTTCCTAGTCTGTCTTAATCTGGAAGCTCTGTGGAAATCTGTCCACCATGGGTGACCCTGCTGGTATTTGAGATACCACTGCCATAGCTTCCAGCATCATAGCAACATGCAAGCCACCACAGAATGACAAACCAACAGATGAGGGTTAGCTATCTCCCCTCCAAACCAAAACCAAACTCATTGCCATCAAGTTGATTCTGACTCAAAGCAACCAGGATTGGGTTTCTGAGGGTATAAATCTTGATGGAACTAGACTGCCCCATCTTCCATCTGTGGCTATCACTCATTCCAAATCACCAT